GTAGCAGAAGTGTGTTATATCTACAAGATGCAACACACAAATCCGCTAAAGATCTTTAGACAGTACCTTCCAAACATGTGAATGCTTCCATCTAGAAAGACAAGGGCAGCAGACACATTGGAACACCACCACATTCGCGTTCTCCTTTAAGCCACTCACCATCCTGTCTTGTAAATGTATTGCCGTTCCTTTAAAGTCGCTGAGTCAAAATCCTGGAATTCCCTCCCTAACAGTATTGTGAGTCAATCTACATAATGTACACTGCAGTAGTTTAAGAAGGCAGCTCATCAAAATCTTCTCAAGGACAACAAGAATTGGACAATAAATGCTGGCCAGCCAGCGATGCCTGCATCCCATGAGCGAATCAAAAAAAAACCCTCCAGTTTACCGTTTGCCCAATTCTGGTAAAAAAAAACCCTCTTTAGCATCTCTGGGCTTTTCACACAGCTTTCCAGTTTTAGACTTTTTCAGCCAATGTGCAGTTATCTCCAAGAGGTCTTTGCTGCCAAAAAGACAAACAGACCATTTTCTGATTAAATTAGTTTCTTCACAGGAATTTTAATGTGCTCCTCTTTCCATTTTTGTCTGTTTTCTCTTTGTTTCAGCATCTATGTGATTATTGCCTTCACCATCCAGCTCCTCCAATGGTAGTTGTCTGAACCTATACTTTTTGTCTGACAGGTACATAACATCTTCCTTAATTTTTTTTTGGTCTGTACCATTTCCAGGTTGAGGGTTGCTAGATCACATGGGCCAGTATTATTGTATCATCTAAGAAAGGTTTAATTTTTTTTTGAAAAATGGTGCAAGCCCTTGAAAATCTTTTTCAATCAATCTTAAAATAATTACAGATTCCACAGACATTTTAAAGAAATTTAATGTTTTTCTTATCATAATGTTTCTGAGTGTAATGTCATCACAACAGTAGCTACTCAAATTAACAGACATGGGAAGTGAGTTCCTACAATGATCAGCGTTAAGACCACTATTGCACACAATTTGCATTAAAAGTCTATGTGAAAGTTTTCCCAAAGGAAGTGGAAACAGGCACTGATGTTTTTGAAACTATGACTATAGGGAGCTAATTAGAATCAAGAATTTCATTGGTATGAATTCTTATTTGCCATGGAGACAGATTCCCTGTCCAATTATGAGGAAGATCATGGTGCAGTGGTGATCCCATTGCAATAGTAATCCAGAGGCCCAGGATAATGATCTGCGGATATTATTTCAATCCGAGCATGGCAAGTGATGCAATCTAAATTTACTTCCCTTAAAATATCTGGAATATGAAACCAAACTTGTTTATGGTGACCATGCTGACAACATCCCAGCCATAGGACTGAAGACTTATGCTCCAGAGCACCCTAACCAAGTTGTTCCTGTTAACAAAACATTTACCAAGTGATTGTGGAACATTGCTTAGGTGTGCCTGTCAAAACACCAGAGATAACATGGACAATTACATTCCCATCAGCCTTCCCTCAGTCATCAGCAAAAGATTGACAGTACCATCATGTGGTAGGTATTCAACAATAACATGCTCACTGACACCCAGTTTGATTAGCACCAGTCCCACTCAGCTCCTGACTTCAATACAGCCTGTGTTCAAACATGGACAGAAGAGCTGAAATCAGGAAGCTACAAGAGTATGACTTCCCTTGACATCAAGGCTACATTCGACCAAATCTAGCATCAAGGAGACCCAGCAAAGCTGAAGTCAATGGGAATCAGGGAAAATCTCTCTGCTCATCGGAAGTCAGACCTGGCTCAAAGGAAAATGGTCGTTGTTGTTTGAGTTCGATCATCTCCACTCCAGGACATCTCAGCAGGAGTTCTTCAGGCCATTGTCCTAAAAATAAACAGATTCAGCTGTTCACCAGTGATGTTCCTTCCATTATAAAATTAAAAAAGGATGTTCACTGATATTGTGCAATGTTTGGCATCATTTGCTATTCCTGAGATATCTGTGTCCGAATTCAGCAAGACCTCTACAACATTCAGGCTTGTGACTTTCACAACACAAGTGCCAGGCAATGACCATCTCCAAAAAAGAGAAAGTTCAATTATTGACATTTAATGGCATTAATATCACTGAAGGTTTCACTATTGAGATCTTGGGGGTTACTATTGACTGTAAACTGTACTGGACGAGCATTACAAATACAATGGCTACATGATCAGGAAAGAAGCTAGGATTTCTGTGGTGGAAAACTCACCTCAATCTACAGGGCACTCTTCACAAGTGTGATGAAATAATCTCCACTTGCCTGGATGGGTGCAATCTTAACGCACTTAAAATCTCAATGCCATCCAAGACAAAGTAGCCCACTTGATTAGCACTCCATCCACCACCATCAATATTTACGTCCTGCACCAATGTGACAAAGTAGTAACAGTGTATACCAGCAATAAATGCACTGCAACAATTCAGTGAGGCTCATTAGAAAGCACCTTCCAAACCTGTGACCTTTACATTAACGTGCTGTAGCGTGATTATTTTTAGCTGAACTCAGAGGACAGAAGAAGAGTGAAGTAAACCCACATCATGGGACGAGAGTCATGTTTAGATGTGACTCAGGAAAAGTAACAGGTTTGACAATCCAGCTGATGATCATTATTTTTTCTTGGTGATGCTCCAGAAATGATTAGCTTTATTGAAGTCATTATCAAAACTTGAGGCTTTAACACATTAGAAAAAGAAAGATTTTGACAATTACAAGACGCACACTTTAATGGTGATGAGCATGTTTTTGATTCAATAATCTTGGGGAAAATCAATTGAAAGCATGAACTAAGAGAACATAGATTTGTCAAGGCCAGATCACATGGGTAGGAGTGGTTAATCTTTAATTTTTGTGTTGGAAATCCTAACACCGATAGCATGTTTTTGAGATTTTTATGTACTGACACCAATTCTGCACCTTCAATGCTAAATGATATGATTGATTGTGCATATTACCGCTGGCTTAGAACATAGAACAGTACAGCACAGTACAGGCCCTTTGGCCCAAGATGTTGTGCCAACCCATTATCCTACTCTAAGATCAAACTACCCTGCATACCCTACATTTTACTATCCTCCATGTGCCTATCCAAGAGTCACTTAAATGTCCATAATTTATCTGACTCCACTACCACTGCCGGCAGCACGTTCCACGCACCCACCGCTCTTAAGCTTTACTATTAGGAGTGAGACATAGGAATCTAGCCCTAAGATTTCAGAATCATTGGCATCATGTTAAAATTAGTCAAAACTGAGCATTGAATGGAAAGAACTGCCACAACTTATGAGAAGATATTAATAAATTTGAAGATTGGATGAATAATTGGTAAGTAAATTTTAATTTAGTTAAATGTGAGGCAGTACACTTCAGTAAGAAAAATAAAGAAAATAGATATTATTTTGAAACTAAGAATTGAAATGGGACAGAGAAGCAAAGGATCGAGGAGTGCAAATATACAAATAGCTTAAAGTTGCAATGCCGGTCAATAAGGCCAGAATGAAAACAAGGCAAGCATGAAGTTTTATTCCTAGAGGCATAGAATTGGAAAGTAGGGAATTTATGTGTACACCTCTGGTCACCATATTGTGGAAAGATTTTGTTTTCGTTTCACCATAGTGCCCTTGAGAGGTTAAGGTTTCCCAAGCATGATACTAGAAATCTGAAATCACAAAATAATGAGGCATTTTTCTCTTGGAAAGCGAAGACTATAGAGGTCTTTAAAATAATGAAAAGTTTTGGTGGAACAAACAAAAAACATTTTGTTTAAACTTAGGGAAGATTGAATCAAGATGATATAATTACAAGGCAGTCAGCGAATAATCAAGTTGAGAATTCAGAAGAAAATCCCTTTACACAGAGGGGCGAGATACTAGGCACATTGTTATTATAGAGAGTTGTTTGATGTGAACAGTGAAAGCTGAATTTATCGGGTAGCTACTTAAGCATATGAGTAAAAAGGGAATAGAAGTTTCTGCTGTTAGAGTAAGACAAATACGATTGGGGGCACTGGTCGGGGGATAGTTTAACTGGAGACTAAAGGTTGCATGAACTGTTTGGGCTGACAGACCTATTTCTACGCTATACATTCTGTATAATAATGGACACTGTAGCACATGTATGAAGTTCTAAACTGATTGTGTATTGCATTTTAATCTTAGTCATTTTAGCAGAGAGCTGATTATCTCACTGGCTGTTACCTCTGTCTCTCCTGCTCACTGCATCTCTACTTCACCTCCTTTTCACAAGCCTGCATACCGCCTCAGTGTTACTCCTCAATACTGTACCTTTCCTTCTCTGGTGTTCAAAATATTTTGAAAAACAACGGCAGAGAGGAGGATTCAGAGAAAGTCAGCAGCATCGAGATGAGCAGGAAAGAGGAAGATGTGAAGAAACTCTCCAGCACCTGACAGTGCAAAAGAGAGGGAGAATGGGAGAGCAGAGTTGACACCAGAAAAAATAATGTGTGAAGAGAAATGAAAGGTCTAAGAATAATATCACAGGAAATTGTGATTGAGATTGATAGATTCATGATCAGTGCGGAAATCAAGGGTTATGGGGAAAGGGCAGAAAAAGTGAATGTGAGGAGTGTCAGATCAATGATGATCCTACTGAAAGGCAGAGCAGACTTGAGGGGCTGAACAGCTTAACACTGCTCCTATTTCATATGTTCTTATGGTCTTCTAAAGGGCCCAAAACTGTTCATAGTATTCCATCCATTGTCTGACTAGTGCCTTGTACAGTATTAACAAAATATCCCTACTTCTGTACCATATTTGCTTGAAATAATTATTACATTTCCCTTCCCAATTACCTTTTGAACTTGGATGATAGATTTTTGTGACTCGTGGATGAGGACTCCCAAATCCCTCTGTTCTGTTGCAGAATCAATGACGTTTTTCTGTGTTGTAGACCTCTATGATTTCATGTGATAAGCCTATAATTTCTTGAATGATTTTGATACTTTAAATATAATCCTTGTTTGTCAAACAAGATGTCAGGATGGCCGAGTGGTGGTCTAAGATGCCAGACTCAAGGATTGAATCCTTCCCGTTGCGGGGCGGGCGTTCTGGTCTCCAACTGGAGGCGTGGGTTCAAATCCCACTTCTGACAATAACTTTATGGCAGCATGGTGGCTCAGTGTTAGCACTGCTACCTCACAGTGCCAGTGACCTGCGTTCAAATCCACCCTCGGGTGACTGTGTGGAGTTTGCACATTCTCCCCATGTCTGCGTGGGTTTCCTCCAGGTGCTCCGGTTTCCTCCCACAGTCCGAAGATGTGCAGGCTAGGTGGATTGGCCACGCTAAATTGCCCATAGTGTTCAGGTGTGTGTAGATTCGGTGGGTAACAGGAGAATGGGTCTAAGTGGGATGCTCTGAGGGTTGGTGTGGGCATGTTGGGCCGAAGGGCCTGTTTCCACACTGTATGGATTCTATGATTTTATGAATGGATTTTTATCAGGCTGTGAGGTTTCTTGTAGGTGAGTTTTGAGGAGATCTGTTCTTAGATGAACATGAAGTTAGAACAAGTTGGCGTGTTCTTCTTTCTATCATGATCTCCCACTTTCCAGGCAATTCTTTTGGTGATCTTAGCTGTCTGGTGACATGTAGTTAATTTGTGTTCTGACCTCCTGACCATTAGTTTAATGGCACTGCAGTGACCTGTCTGAAAATAGCTTCCAGCTGATTTTAAAAGCAGGCACAACTTTGATTCCTTCATCATGTGACTTTCTATAAGTTGAAGTCATTTTCTATGTAAGATGATGTTATTTGCATTGATATAACAACCTTTGTTATGGTTTAATATTCTGAGAGCTTGTGTAGACAGCTTATACAATAGGATGCCGGAAACACCATTTAATTCCAAGTGCCATCAATTCAGCTCCAAAAGCCTGATTTGTTCAGTTTTGTATAGAGTCAAGCAGTCTGATGATTTCTCAGTCCTCTTTTGTTGACCTATTCTTAAAAAGAGATGTGCAAAGTCGTTGGATGGCTGTGAATGTCTGTATTTAATTAAGTATTCATGTGTGACTTGGCACTGTCTATAGCTCCAAGGCTGAAAGTCACATGATTTTGATAGCCACTAGTTTGTGTCCAGTTTTAAAAGTTTTTTTTTAAAGTTTGTAATATACTGGGATATGATGGTATGTAAACAGATGAGAAACAGATGACTGGCAGTGATTTAACCCGAAGGTCACCACACCTTAGGTGAGGGGAGAGGTGGGGAAGAAGAGTCCTCCATGGTAATCTCAGCTGGTATGGAATTTGAACTCACTCTATTGACGACACTCTGTATTACAAACCAGCCATCCAGCAGCATGACAACACAGCTAAGTGTATTACCTGGATTGCTTACACGTAACCTGCAGGGTTAATCATTGCCTAGAGCCTGGACCATAAAGACATTGATCTCTAGACTATGATAGGGCCAAGCATGTAACTGGGTTTGGCTAACCTATTGGGCTGGAATTGAATGAGCCTCTTGACTGAATCTAGCACTACCCCCTGACTGACTGTAGACCCCCTTCACTCCAACAAGGAGTGCTCCCCTTTCACTTGTACACTTGATCTTTTGAAGCAGTTGTGGGTGTTGCTCGATAAACATTGCACACTCTCGGTATGATGTTGACATTGTATCATCTCCATCTCCTCAGGTGTTCAGTGGTCCGCACCATCATAAGCTGTCTGCTCTTTCCATCTGTGTTAAAAAGCAATGCAAGACACAAAGGTTTGGCAGCCTCAACTGATCACTAAAAGCCTTGGCGCATGGCAAGTATGTTATGGACCATAAGATACATCTGGTAGAAAGAAGTCTGGCAGAAGCATACAAGTCATGGTTGCACCTGAGCTGCAAAAGGAAGTGTTGAGAGTCTGAAGATGTGTGTGAATTAGTCCAAGAACAGGCCTGATGATGTGTTAACAATGCCAAATTGAGTGGGCACAGGGTGGAGGAAGATGGTGAATGGAGAGCATGCAGGTACAATATTTTGAAGAAGTATTTGGTTTAGTGACCGAGTCAAGCATTTGGCAAACTGCTGCAGCAAGGTACCAGCTCTAATTTATGTTTTACAAATTTGTGCTGTCCAGTTTCTCAGGGAAAGAGAGGAAAATTGGAAAAGACATATAAATGAGGTGAACTGGGGCTTTCAGGGGATGCACATGCATGGAATCACTGCTCATTGGCAAGATTCTGAAATCGCCATTTAAGGCTTGAAGGGAAAAACTCAGAAACTTTTCTCGACTTGGAAGTTCAAGTTTTATCATTCTGTATTTTCCCACCTTTCTCATGATTGCACACAGAACATCAGGGAAGAGAGAATTCTACCTTCTATGACTTTATTTTATGCAAATATTCAATCAGGCATTTGCAAACATGACACTTGTTGACACAAGTTTTAGCATAATTTTCTACTGCTCTGAAAATAAAGCTAGCAAAGAGGCTTCACAGGGATACAGATAACTTAAGCAGGAAGGAACATAGTTATTTTGGGAATTAGAATCAAATAGCTTTGGGAAAATTACTTAAATCTTCTAAAAAAACCTATACATATTTTAAATAAATATTTGTTGAAGTTCTTTCTGGATTACTCCTGGATTTTTAATTTCCGAAGGGTGACTGAACATTAGTGCTTCAGCCAACATTTGAAGAGCATTTAAAGGATGTGACTTTTGCATCTTTAGTGCAAATATTTAGAAACTGCTGCCATGGAAATACATTCCAGTAAAGATAAATCTGTGTCATAATGTTCCTTGTATACATGGTTGCTGCAATGTTTCATTGGTAAATATTGGCAGTGAGGCAAAGTTCACTTTCAAGTCGATTAAATAATGTTCTAAATTTTAAAATAAGAAACAGAGTGCTGTTAATTTAACAAAGTCAAATATAAAGCTCTATTTCTTTGATAATTTCAATCCATTTTAGTTTTTATGATATTAACATGGGAAATGTCAAAAATGTATCAACGTACAAACAGAACACTATTACTTGTTCAAACAACAGGTAAATGGACAATGGAGTTAAAAGGTATGAGCAGAATAATATACAATTAATCCACAGCTGTTGGGTTTATTGCAGAAATCTAGCACTAACTTTGCACAGGACTTTGCTCTGATTCACCCTCGCAGTGACAGCTGTTGAAAGAGGTAATGGTTCTGAGACCAGACAATCTCACGATGTTATACAGTCTTAGGTCAGGATAAGTGGAATATAGCTTGAGATTCCAATAACAGAGCCAGACATGTCATCATAGTTTTATTCATTATGTTTAACTGGTCAATGTAACTTGTACCTGTTGCTCTCATGTAAGCTTCCATTGATGTTCTGGTTTTGTCTTCAGCGCTCCACTATGGACTGGTCGAACAGTTCAGTGTTTTATTTTCAAAAAGAGTAGAAAGCAGAACTGGTATTTACACTTTAACCCCCAGCACAAGCAGTTTGCTGTTGGTTCCACACCACATTGAAAAGTGGCCAACTCCAATTGTGCACTTGGAATTAATTTGCTATGATGTAAGCTCGAGTGTCTTCTATCATTGCTGTGGATACCGGGGATCCTCTAGCAGCTTACTAGAATTGCTATGGTGATTGCCCAAGATATGGAGTGGGTGGTGCAATGACAGGATACTGGCTGTGACCACTTCTTTATTTTGCTGCCTGAAGGTAGATCATATCTACAGCACAGTACCACAATTTCCAATAGAGTTAGGGAAAGCAGGTAGTGCATAAAGCCACCCCAGCTAGGACAGGGAATGTTTTTCCTCCAATATTTTTGTGGAATATGCACATCTCTTACAAAATCCGAATCTGTTGTCGAAACAATTCAGAAGGCAATTAAGAGTCAACAACATTGCTGTGACAATCACATAGATCACCAAAGGTTGGAAGATTCTTCTCAAAAGAATAGGCACATGATAGTTGCCATCGAACATGCCTTATATTCCAAATGTATCAGTTGAATTTGAATTCCGTACAGTGGTAGGATTTGAATCCATGTCCCTAGAACGATAGCCTGGGCTTCTAGTCTAGTCATCTTACCACTTACATCGCCATCTCTCCTGAATGATGCTGACACCAATGTTATCCAAAAACTGGCCATCCAGCCACCTGGCTTCTCATGCTGCAAAATGTATTTTTACTTCTATGTTGTTGTCCAGAGTTATGAACTGGAATGGTAAAGGCTTTAATTTGCTTTTTATCACATGACTAACTAGGAATCTCTTGCACTCATACTGCCTATCATTAGTATATGGTGGGAGGTATAACAAGTTGATACATGATGTCAACGTTTATGTTCGAAACACGGTTTCGAAGGCAACAAAATCCTTGAGTGCGACTTGAACTCAAAACTTGGCTTGTGAAGAAGAGTCACTGGACCCAAAATTTCAACTGTTTTCTCTCCACAGATGCTGCCTGACCTGCTGAGTATATCCAGCAATTTCCACTTTTGCTTCTGATTTCTAGCATCCGCAGTTCTTTCAGTTTTTTTAATCTAAAACATTTGACTCGGAGATAAGATCATTGCCCAGTGTGCAGCAAGGTTTCCTGCTGTAGCCTCATGGAGCACAAACTCACTGGTCTTTCACAGAATAACAGCAGTCATTCTCTCATTCTTGTGGGACAGAATTGAAATGCAATCTCCACAAAATTGTGGGGTTAGGGTTAATGCGGCCCAGTTGTGTTTTCAGTGAAGGGGAAGTGGGGTGCATTGATTGGTGAGTAGATGGCCACCTTTCAGCCAATCTCCAATCCAGTCCTCATAATACATAGTAAAAACCAAAAGAACTTCGGAATGTGTAAATCAGAAACAAAAACAGAAATTGCTGGAAAAGCTCAGCAGGTCTGGCAGCGTCTGTGATGAGAGATCAGGGTTAATGTTTCAGGTCCGGTGATCTGGTCCTGAGGAAGGTCACCAGACCTGAAACGTTAACTCTGATTTCTCTTCACAGAGGCTGCCAGATCTGCTGAGCTTTTCCAGCAATTTCTGTTTTTGTTGCTCATAATACATAGAATGGGTAAGGTGCTCACTAGCCCTCCCTATTCTATGGCCTCTTGAGTTCTTTACTATTTGGGCATTTAAGAGCCTTAAATCCATCATTGCCTTGTGTCCTCATACCGT